AGAGCGAAAATCATAGTATATTTGTAATTTTAATTTATTTATTCTAATTTTTTAATTTTTTTAATCCTAAAATGGCATCGCTTCAGTGAATATTAGACAAAATTGTCTAAAGTAACGTTAGATACTTTTTTTCCTAAGAACATATGTCAAAAATATATATTAAGCATAAATGATCATATTTGCTCGACAACATGCAGGATGACACATTGACCGGAACAGATTCTTCAGTTGACATTTCTACAAAGGAGAACTTGGGAAAACTTTGCCAAATTGGTGAAAAGCTATTAAAGAAACCAGTCTCCAGGGTCAATTTAGATAATGGTCTGTTTGAGCCGCTTCAAAATGGGGAAACCAATGAAGATGCTCTCAGAAGGTAAGATTAAAATAGACATCTTCATCATTAATAGTATAGTTCATTTAATTACGATGCATATTACAATCCATGTGTAACACATTACAATGATACTAATAACACATTTGATTCTATTGTATTCAGGTTTGCAAAAATACTTTCACAAGAGAGGAGACTCCGTGAAATGAGATCCCCACACACTAAAAAGGCCTTCTAGTCCCATTTTCTCATCTTATATTTTGCAGAGGCATTTGATTCTATCATCTTCATTGATTCAATTATTGTTTAGATTTGTTTCTCATAGAACAAAACAGGTTTTAGGTAGAGGCCAAAAATAGAATCGTTGATTAGAAAAATTTGTAATTTCTGTATTGATTTATTTATTTGTGAGCATCTGTATCAATTGCATATCTACTGTCAATAATAAATTCTAACTCTCGATTCAATTGTTATTCTCTAATTCTCTGTGTAAAAGTCAACTTATCACTTGTTTAGAATCGTACCTACAAAAATTTTAAGAATGAAACTTTCACATGAATTTGACCCTGAATTTTTATCAGAATTTAAATTTGATATATACCAAACTAATTAACCTAAATAGTGGCTAATTCACATAATGTTAAACTTACAAGTGTCACTGGGTTGTCGTGCCTCCACCGAGATGTTCAAGCCTTGTAGTAAAATCCAACACTGAGACAACCAAACACACGGTGCCTTATGATTTTGCTACAACCGAGGGATCAATGGTGGCGGAGAGAACCTCCAATTTTGGCCGTTAATGGTGGCCATATTGCCAAAATAGAATGCTAATATTCCTGTACCAGTGACGAACTTACGCGCAACCTATATGTTTTTTTTTTTTTTTTTGATAAATCACGTGTACACTTCACAAGAGACAATCTTATTTGAATGCAACTTGAACCCAAGACTTTGCTTAAGCAGAATCGAGCATGTATCACTTGAACTAACCCCTTTAATTAACATATATGATTTTAATTATATATTTTTTTATGTATATATGATGTAACTTCAAAATTTATTTAATTAATATTTAATAATGTAGTGCCAAGTTATTAAAGAAATGTAGGGCATGCTTGATTTCTGTTTTGGAAGACCCTTTTCTTATTTTTAGAACAAAAAAATAATAAAATAAGGTCTGTTTTGTAAAACTAATTCTAAAAATTTTAACTGTTTTTTAATTTTTAGAATCAAATTTAGAGAACATCTCTCACTAGTTTTTGTTTTGTATTTTAACTTTTAACTTTTAAAAAATTAATATAGAAAACACTTATTTCATTAATTATTATATAAAACAGTTTTAAGAAATAAAGAAAAAACACAATCATTTGTTCTATGTGATGTATAAAGCTTAATTATAAGCTTATACTATACGTTATGTTATTTTCAGTTTGTTTGGTGTTTATATATTAAAATAATATATAACTTAATCAGTTCTAAGGGTGGAATGAAACGTGATAAAGGGGTTAACATATAAGCTTAATTCCTTCTTTTTGCCTTTCTGTCCCGTTTCTTCCACATTCACGTTCGCCATTCAAAGTGGTAATAGTCAAGGATGAACTCGCTATCTTGTAAGTACTCCAGTAGCTCCTCGAACTTCACCAATCGCTTTTCAAATCTCTTCGTTTTCGCGCTTCCTCAATCGTCGGGATGCTTTCGCCTCCTTTTCGGCTGTTCTTGTTGCCGCTTCGACAAAGGCTGTTCATCCTCGTTTGTCGTAATAATGCTGCCACACCAGAAATTTTCTTCCATCTTAGGTTCGGGAGAGAAATTAGTCTATTCTTTGTTCTTTTATAGTCAATTCAGTGCTAGATTTTATAGTCAACAAACGAGGGAATTTCAACACTTTTTTTTTTTGTAGAGGCATTTTTGTTTTTGGATAAAATTGTATTCTCTTTATGAGATGATTTTGTTCGTAGCAGATCTAAAATTAACACTTTAAACTTCTTCCAATTCAACACTATTTTTTACATAAAAACTCTGGTAAAAAGTAATAAATAAGGGTATATTCATATTCATCGTGTATTTTAAATTAAATTAATAATACTTTTTGTATTTCATAAATAAAAATAGTATAAAAGAATTTAGTTCAACTTATTTATTGCTAAAAAAATTGTTTGGCTTGTATCGATCAATTTATATTTTCACAAAAATAAAAGGACAAAATATTTGTCTGCTTCATCTATTTTCAGTAAAATTTAAAATTATATAAAAACTGATTGACTAATCATTATAGATTATAAACATTTATATAGTATTTTCTTGTTATCAATTACTATAAATTTAACATGACATTAATTATATAATTTTTTTATCCAAGGGTATTTTTATCAAAAAAATTTTTTTTTTTTTTGATAACATTAAGGGGCGAAGCCCCAAAATATTTATTTTTATCTTATCTAGGGTTATACAATCTAATGTCAAACACTGAATAATATTATCTTATATAATATATTATATTATATAATATCATTTTAAACGCTAGATAGTATTAAAATTTAATCAGACCTTATACAATCAGGTCTTATACTATCAGGTTATGTTGCACCGACATTGACACAGGACACAACATGACACAACACGACACTCCAACACGTTAATTCTAAAAAATGTAAATTTTGATATGATGTATACAATCAGGTCTTATACTATCAGGTTTTTTAAGTGTCGACGCAACATAGCTGTCAAATCTTATACAATGAGGACTTATCCTATTCTATACACTTAGGGTCTGTTTGGTATGATGTATAAGACTTGATAGTATAAGCTTATATTATACGTTGTGACATTTTCAGTTGTTTGGTGTGACCATCGTATAGTATAAGCTTATACAACAGAACTCCTTAATACATCAAAATGATGTATAATTTAATCAGGCCTAAGGGGGTGGGATTAGGCCTGATAAAAGGTTGATATATTAATATTGCTTACAAGTACAATTCTCAAGAACTATATATCATTTCAATATTAAAATAATTTTTTAATATATTAATTTTTAAAATATTGGAGGATATTATCTTATACAATACCATACCAAACATAAGGTAGTATTAACATTTAATCAAATCTTATACAATCAGGTCTTATACTATCAGGCTTAATCCTATACTATGCACCAAACATGCCCTTGGGGCCAGTTTGGTGTGATGTATAAGGTAGGGTTGGCAAAACGGACCAACCCAGCTCGACCCAGCCCAACCCGCGTGCAAACCGAAAAAAACGAGCCGGGTTAGGGTTGACTCGAAAACAAAATGAGCCAGAAAACCCAACCTGAGCCGGGTTAGGATTGGTTCAGAAAAATGGCTCGTGGGTTGACTTGAAAAAATGGTCGCGGGTTGGCTCGAAAATTGGCTCCCGGGTTGGCTCGTTTTTTGCTTGTTTAAATGAACCTGTAGTATTAATGCACCGGCTATGTGGCTTCCATCAGCTTAAACAATATAATTGTCTTATAGAATAGTTTATAAAAAAATAAATAGAAAAGGATTACAGAATGAGAAATAAAAAATCGAGAATATAAGAAGCTTTCAATGCAGGAACTGAGGCTAAGACTGAGCAGCTAGGGAGATGAAGCAGGGGCTGACAGAGCACGGATGGTGTGGCTGGCGGCTGCGTCTCAATTTCTGAGTGCGAACAAAAATGGCAGTGATGTGAGAAGATGACAGACTTAGGTTTAGAGATGGAAGAAAGGCGATGACAGCATGTGTGGGTTTTGTCCTTTTTTATATTATATTTTGTATTTAAACAAAAAACTACTTACAAAAAAAAAACTCAACCCGCGAGCTGATATATTTGACTCGCGGGTTGACTCATTTTTTCCCGAGCAAGCTCGGGTCGGGTTGGCAGCTCATTTTTGCCAACCCAACCCGACTCATTTCTGACAGGTTACAAGCTAGCTCTAGTATAAGGCCTGATAATATAAGCTTATACTATACGTTATGACATTTTTAGTTGTTTGGTGTAACCATCGTATAGCATAAGCTTATACAGTAGGATTCCTTTATACATCAAATGATGTATAACTTAATCAACCCTATGCGAGTGAGATTAGACCTGATAAAGAGTTGATGTATTAACTAGTGCAATTCTCAAGAATTAATATATTTTTAATATTAATATATTATTTAATATTAATATATTAAAATAAAAAATAATTTTTCAATATATAATTTTTTAAAATATTGGAGATTTTTATTTTTATAAAATTTGATATATTTTTTGGACACATTGATCAATAGATTTATATAAAAATTAATATTACATGACGTATCTGGAAAAATAATATAAATTCTTTATTAAAAGATATTTTTGTTAAAAATATTTATTTTTAACCTATCTAATATTATACAGTGCATTACCAAATACTTGATAATATTATTTTATATAATATATTATCTTATATAATATCATACTAAATACTAAATAATAGTGAAATTTATATTATGTGTACGAACGCATGGGAGATTAGGATGATCATACTGGCCTGTTTTTTCATATTGGCTTTTATGAGCAGGCCCAAACTGATAGTAGTGGGCCGCTTTATCAAATCATATTTTCTTGGTCGAAACGTCAACGTTCGGGATGTACTATTTAAACATCTCTGGCTTTCTCTCAGCAAGCCATAGCTAAGCAAGCTCAGCCAGCAGCAACAACACACCATCCCGAGAGAGAACTCATTCTTTTCTTGGTAAAAAAGAAAACAAACTAAGGTTCTGTTTTTAATTTTGTTGTGGTCGTGCATCATCATCAATCATGTCGGGTATGGAGAGGCTTCAAAGAATGTTCGCAGGTGCAGGAGGAGCATTGGGTCATCCACCACCTGATTCCCCCACCCTCGATTCCTCCGAACAGGTCTACATCTCCTCCCTCGCCCTTCTCAAAATGCTCAAACACGGTATGCTTCTCGATCCCCTTCACTGCTTTTACTTTTTCTGTCGTTTTGTTCGATGATTTCCCTAATTTTTCGAAACCCTAATTTTATATAATAGGAAGGGCTGGTGTTCCCATGGAAGTGATGGGTTTGATGTTGGGGGAGTTTGTGGATGAGTACACTGTTCGCGTTGTGGATGTATTTGCCATGCCTCAGAGTGGTACAGGTGTTAGTGTTGAAGCCGTTGATCATGTCTTTCAGACTAACATGCTTGATATGTTGAAACAAACTGGAAGGTATATTTAATCAACTTATTCCATTTTATTATTGTATATTCCGATATGGTTTGTTATTCTTCCATGCTTTATGCCTTTGTGCCATGAGTAATGTCTTGATTATTTACTTTTTTACATCAGTTAGTTGATACTTTGACATTTTTGTTTCAGACCTGAGATGGTTGTAGGTTGGTATCATTCTCATCCTGGATTTGGATGTTGGCTTTCTGGAGTGGATATTAATACTCAACAGGTTTCAGCTTCTCTTCAATCTTTTGCTCATCATGGTAGCATGTGTTTGATATGTTGCTTTATTTTTGTGGTTGAAACTAAGTGGACAATTCATAAATTTGTTTTCTTCGTCTAACAAATCCTGATACAGTAAGAGTGAGTGTGGGTTAGAGAGGGGGGATGAAGAATGGGATAAAAAAAAACTGAGGAGAGTCTGAGGTGTGGTTATGTAAACAATTATTTTATTTTAATTATTCATTTACACTAGTAACCTTATATTTTTTATTTTTCACCAAACATGAAAATTAAAACATGATTTTTATGAAACTTCTGGTGCTAAAAGTGAGGATGGTTCTTTTTATTGATATAGACAAGTAGTTCCTGGCTTTAAGTTTGGCTATTCATAATTTCATATTAAAGCTGCATTAATTGATGGAAACACTTGGGGGACATAGGGGAATGCAAACACCTACGTTGGCTTGTTAACATCATCATCACACCCCAGTCTTAGATTTGGGGCCAGCACCAGTTGAGCTACAAGCTTACTAGCTGAGCGATGTAAACTTGGTGGAGAAGTAACACTGCTTCATTGATGAAATTTTACAATTCACTATTGAGCAAAATTGGAGTATTTTTATTGTTGTGATTTAAAGTAACTGCAATAGGAGTAGAAAATGCTTCTAGAATGAACTATTATATTTAATTTTCAATGCTTAATTTATAAATTATGAATCACTAGGACAATTAGTAATTAGAACTCACTGTAGACAGAGGAGCTGTTATATTACAGAATGAAATGTTTAATTTAATTAAGTGAGCCATGACAACACCTTATTCAGATAATGCTGTTAGTTCCTTACTTTCTTTTATCTAATACAGAGTTTTGAGGCTTTAAATCAACGGGCAGTGGCTGTGGTGGTGGATCCTATTCAGAGTGTCAAAGGCAAGGTGGTGATTGACGCTTTCCGGCTGATTAATCCACAAACTATGATGCTGGGTCAGGAACCACGACAAACAACCTCCAACCTGGGCCATCTGAACAAGCCATCTATCCAAGTGAGTGTTCTGAAAAATCCATTCAAAAGCATAGCTTCTGCACTGTTTTTTTTTTGTCTTTTGTCTTTACTATTTTTGACCTCTTATTCTCTTTTTTAGGCTCTGATCCATGGCTTGAACCGACATTATTACTCAATAGCAATCAATTACAGGAAGAATGAGCTTGAAGAGAAGATGTTGCTTAACCTTCACAAGAAGAAATGGACTGATGGTTTGACACTCAGGCGTTTTGATTCACATTCTAAAACTAATGAACAGACTGTTCAGGTAAGTTAAGATTTTCAATGTGAAATAGAAATTATAGATCATTCAACCTATTTATTCCTGTTCTCTTTCCCCACTTTTTTCTGTTTATTTATTTTTTGAGCTTTTCTTTTCTGAATTGATTGCATATACAAGACTAGATATATGGCAAAACAGCCTGTTTTTAAGTAACCAGCTGCTTTGATGATCCTCTATTGCACAGCAACAAAGATGTGGTACTCAGATTCGAGATTTTGCTGATTTGGTTTAGTAAATTTCAGAAACATGCTATAATAATTGGTTCTACTACTCGTTACTTTGTCTTTTCCTTGTCCCTATGGTTCCTCTGCAGAGGAGAGGGGTTGCTTAATGGTTCATTTATGAAATTAATTGGTTCTAACGCAACGAATTTATGAAAGTAATTGTAGGTTTGGATATATGCTATATATACACTGTATTCAAAGGAGAAAATATTTTTCTTTTTTTATTTATAAAATTCTGGTAATTCAGGAAATGCTGAATTTAGCAACCAAGTACAACAAGGCAGTACAGGAGGAAGATGAGTTGCCGCCAGAAAAACTTGCAATCGCTAACGTTGGAAGGCAAGATGCTAAGAAGCACCTTGAAGAGCATGTTTCCAATTTGATGTCTTCGAACATTGTTCAGACTTTGGGAATGATGCTCGACACAGTTGTGTTTTAGAATTAGTATTATCCATTGTACTCTTCCTTTTCCTGTCTAGCAATATTTCATTAGCACGGTTGACTTGTTTGTTAAAAGAAATTGTTTCTTCGTAAATTGTTGCATTTTGTGTTCATCGTTTGAAATGGAAGAGCGAGTTGCATGTTATAATATGAGAATCATGTTTTAAGCTCTATAAATGTCATGGAGGCCCTTATGATCCTGCTCTAGAGTTTTACTCTTTTTTTTGGGTTACAGCTCTAGGGTTTTACTATATGAACCATGTTTTATGGATTCTGTTGAAAGTTGAAACTTGGAGCCATTAAACCTGCATATGAACTCTTGTATGATTTACAATATTTCTAGTTAATAAAAGAAGTGGAATGATGTCTACAACATCTTTGAACATAGGGCTGTAAACCAGTTGTTTTCCTGTTACTTGATACTAATAAACCCCATAAATTATTCAAACTACTGGATGACGTATAATTGAGTATTATTAAACTGGTATTAGTGGTGGATTAGCTAGGAGAACAGGGGCAATGAGTTAATGTTTAGAAAATAATAGAAATATTATAATGGATACATTTATAACTTAGTAGTTACTGTCATATATATATATATATATATATATATATATTAGGATACTGTTTTATACTCAATGTAAGGAATTGTTTTAAAAAATGTTTATACAAATTTTCAAGACCGGTTAAATTGAACCCAAAGAATCAGTGTTGATTTAATATCAGATAATTAGTTTTCGTTGCAGTTCCATTGATTAACAGTTAAATTAACTGAACCAAATCAAATAGTGGTTCGATTCTCATTTAAATCGTTCGACTAATGTGGTTCCGATTTAACCAATCCGACTAAATAGTCGAATTTTAAATCTGCGGGTGAAATCTTAATTTTTATTTTCAAAATATAGATATTATTATTAAAAAAATAATGTAAAACTATCAATATAATTTTGGATTATCACAAATAACTCAATACATATATGCAGAATAAAAAAATTCATAAAATAATACCACAACTATAATTAAAGGAAAAAATTACTGTAATTTGTCTTCCTATCACACTCTTCGAAAATTGTGCTGCATTTTTTTTTTTAAGTGGTAGGCCCTACATTATGTATCTATGATGGGAGATAACTCCTCTTCTACAACATGAAAATAGAGAAGGCCATAAATTTATTTATTTTTTGGTAAAAAACAAGCCCATAATTAAATTAGTTTAAGGAGTCTATTTATCTCATGCAACATAAGATAATTATTTTTCTTAGTTTAATGATTAGTTTTTTCTATAATCAATGTAGATAAGTTATCTATATTAAGCCTAAAATGATGTTGTTTGGAGGCAAAAATTAAGGTATTTTTATAATTAAATTTATTTCATGATTATAATAGTCTTTTTTATTATAATTTTTTAATTTTTCAATCCAAAACGACATTGTTTTAGGAGTAAATGTATATAACTTATCTACCTTTATTGTAAAAACATTAAAGCTAGTTTAATTATGGGTTATGATCCGTTTATTCGTGTTTTATTTGTAAATGTACTTTTAAATTAAGAAAATGTTTTGAAATTTTATAATGATTAGATAAATATAAAGATAAATTCCACAAAACCACGGTCAACTTATATGGCTTTTATATATAAAAAAAAAAAACTTATATGGCTTTTCAACCACCTTGTAGTTAATTGATACAATTAACTCGTATTATAAAATTAAAACAACTAAACATATTTAAAAAATTTAAGACATAAATTACCCTCAATATCATTCACCAACAACCACGATAGTTGCTTGTAAGTGTATATATAGACTATGCTTTGGCGTAAATAGGTCAGGTCTGTGTAAAAAAATTTATATTTGGCTTGGCTTGTTAGTCCAAATTAAAAGTTTGACTTAACATATATTTAAAAAATAAAAGTCTTGGCCTAAGCCTGTAAGTCTATTTAAGCCTATTAAACCTTCTATAATTAAAAAAACAACTAAAATAATATTTATTATTAATCAAAATTATTAAAATAATATTTTTTTAAAAAAAATTATTTTATTTAAAATAAATAATATAATATAGGCGACCTATAAGCTTATAGGCCCGACATGTAAAACAAATTATAGGCCTGCTTTCTAAATAAATTTTTAAAAAATTTTAAGTTTGTTATATGGGTTTTATTAATCTTATGTTAAAGGAAATAAGTTATCTCATGTCATAGAGATAAATTTGTGGACTCCACCATCTGGAAAAAAAAAGAAAAAAAAAGGTGGCACAGTTATCGAAGGGAGTGTAGAAGAGAAATTTATCACATGTAACATAAGAGTAGTTTTTCTCATGTTATATTTAACTTTTTGTAATAGGCCAACCTTAACCTAATATAGACTGGGTCATAGACACTGTAGGTCGACCTAACCCATTTGTACCCCCAACCCCAATTGCTTGTCAGTTCAGGGCTTTTGACCCCAGTAGTTCGTTTTGTTCATGATGGAAGGATATACCAATGTAATGCATGACGACGCGGGAAAACGCGTTCATAGAACAATCGCGTTCCATGCAACTTGCAAACGACCATTGCGTGGGAGTTGCGGCTGCATTTAGTGCAACTGAACACGGCACCTGCGCAGCTGCGTCTCTGTGGTGTCAGGCCGTATCTGACGCGGTGCCTGCCAAGCCGCATCCTACCAGCCAATGATGGTTCAGCAACTTCTGCACCAGACGCGTCCGTCAGAAAGCTGCGTCACTACCCGGTCCTCTCTCAGTCGTGTCCCTCCACGCCAGGACCACCCCTTCCCCCCAGCACCTTGGGAATGGATCCTCTCATGTGGAAAAGTGGTCATGTGATCATGTGTTTTGATTACAACTACTCATTTAAAAATTATACAATTTTCTCTCTCTTATTTCATTACCAATGAGTGGTTGTGATCGAATAACATGATCACATGACCACTTTTCCATATGAGAGGATCTACTCCCCAGCACCTTCTCCCATTGTCGCTGATCTGGAATGCTGTCGGGAGATTTGTAAACAGAGAGCAAAGTGTGTGGGTTCTGCGAGTTTGGTTTCTCCTTTTATCAATTTTATGTGTGTTGTTATAAGTGGGATTTTGGTAATTTTGATAAAGTGGGATTCTGGTACATTTTGATAAAGTGGGAATATTTTACTGATATTTGAATTAGCAGTTTTTGAGCTACATGTTGCGACTCGGCAAGTGCTCCGATCGTGAAAGTAATAAAGTGTACCGGAGTACGAGATCGTTCCCACGAGGATCAGAATTTTCAAGCACTAGTTCGCTAATCGCGTCTTAGTTGGACAATCAAGAATTTAGATGAAGAGAGTTGTGATTCAAAGAACTTAAAATTAAAAACAAGTAAACGCATGCAATCAAGAAAATTCAAAATTAAAAGAATGAATGAAGATGATGATGTTTGATTATGAATTTAAAAGCGTAGTTAAGGTTTCGACTTCCCCCAATATCCTCAATATGTTATGAATTAAACAACCAAGAATCCGTTTCTTAATATATTGCCAATCAATTCTATCTGAGTTAATTACGGCTCAATTCCTTGTTACCATAAATCTATGTAATCTTGAAAGAACTCTAGTTCCCCGATCATTCCCCAAGAAAACATGCATTGAGATCAAGAGTTTCAAGATTGCATAATTACCCTATGCCTATTCCTAGATCACAAGGATTATGATAAATTATCAAGTCAGGGTTCATGCACCAACATCTCTATTGTCATACAATTCCCCAAAATCATTCTATAAGGAACAAACTCATAGAAAGCATTAAAGATAGATAATTTATTCAATTATAAAAAGAACAGGATTTGAAGACAATTTAATTCATAAACATAAAGATTCAATTGGGTTCCATCTATCATTAACTACATAAAAGACTACTCTAGCATACTGAATTGAAAAGAAATAATAAAGAAAAGAGAACCCCAAGCCTCCATTAGTGTGATGTTGACTTGGTTCCTCAGTGTTCTAGCGCTCCGCAACAGGATTCCTCCTTGGAGTATGAATGGGGATGAATGAATTTATGAATTGGTGTCTTGGTTCTGACCCCAAGCTCTTTATTTATAGCCATTGGAGGTTGTATCCTTCATTGCATCTCTTGTCGTATCCATATTAGATTTGTAATTGATTCTCCAATTGTTTCCTTTTTGCAATTAATATCTTGTGGATTGGTTGAGAGATTTGAGCTTTGAATCTTGTTATAATCTTCCTTCAATCTTCTCAGGAATCAGCTTTGATATGTTTCCGTTTTAGTTCCATATCATAATTGGACAAATCCTTATTAAATCTCAGCAAATCTTAGTGAATATTTGCTGTCTGGAACGTGGTTGGACGCTCAAGCGTGCTGTTGGCCGCTTAAGCGTGCCAAGTTACTGAAATTGTTGTTGTTGTCTGCCTTGGAGCGCTCGAGCGTGCTCCTCGAGTCTAAATTTGTGTATTCTTGGGCGCTTGAGTGTGCATGTGTGCGCTTGAGCGTCCTGATGTGCCCAGTTTGGCTTTTTTTTCCTTCTTCCAAACGCTCGAGCGTCCTCTTGTGCGTTTGAGCGTGCTTTCCTGGACCTTGAATTGTAATATTTTGGTTTCCTTTGATCCATATAGAGTCGCTACTTCTTCGTCATGATTTCTTTAGCACTTTTAGCACAATTTCTTGTGGTTTTACCTTCAAACCGCAAATATTATCAAAACGTCATCTCAATTTCCTATCTTATGCTTTATATGTCGTAAAACCTTGAATTCCATGCATTCTACTACATATCTCTTGTATAATTTAGCCTAAAAACATAGTAAACCAAGAGTTTATCACTACACCATGATAATATTTTACCCAATCAGTTGTTCAAATATTGAGCAATTTATACGAAGCTATATTATTCATCTTTTGTTTACTTGGACCCATTTTCAATATGTCTATCTTTCCTCTAATCAGTACCCGATGAATTAATGATGAATTTGATTCCATGAACATATTTTGACTTTTTTTTCCTTGATTATAATTTGCAGCGCTAGTATTTTGGTCTGTGTACATGATATGGAGGCTGACTTTGTAACGATTAAATCAACTATTGGACACGTGATTTTGAAAGGGTGTTTTGAGTGTTACTGGTTTATACCCTCATACTTTATATACTTGTGTGAAGCAAAGCCCGTTTTTTGCTCCCTCTATTGATAGATCAAGGCCCCCCTGCCGTCGTTTCAGTGACTCATAAGGCTTCCCTCAGCTCAGTTCTTGAGAATGGTCGCCACCTCTCCCAGGACCGGAATGATTATCCCTGCCCGATGGGTCTACATCCATCCCTGA